GGTGCTAGCGGGTGGTCTGATTCAATTCTCAGATTCTTTTCTGTTCTGTTGTTGAGACAAAGAGTCTGATATCTGATAAGACACCAACCTGGCAATTCGATCTTGTTCCATTCCCAGTCCGCTCTCTTCGATGGGATTCGCCGCTTGGCCGCTTGGCTTCGAAGGGAGAGATGCTCTATCCCCGGCCCACCTGCATCCCCCCCCTCTTCTATTCGACAATCCACCTTGCAGATCACCGCATTTAGGGTTATTTTCTTCTCCTCTCTTCTGCCTCATGGCGCTGGAACCATCCGGGGCCAACAATCTGGGCCTGGGCGAATCAGGTCGTACCGGTCCGCCCGCCGTTACCCAAGGCTTTTGGCTGCCTCCGACTGGTTCCAAGCTTCAACGAGATTCACTGCCCCCGGATTCTGTATGACTATAAGTAACACTGTAACCTCTCTCTGCAGACATGTAGACTGTAGACCTCTCTCGTAACATCGATCATCTGCATCAGATCTCCTTGCTTTTCCTCTCTCCGTCCCACTCGGGATCACTCCCCAAGCACTTCTCTGCTCCTTCTTTCCCCTTTGTTTATCCTTCACATCTGTGGCAATGGCTACCAAATCCGATACGCCCACAAAAGACCTCATTGCAGATGGTCGGTCCTCCATCCAAGGGGTCACCCACCATGCCGAAGATATCGTCGACGGCCGGGAGCCCTACGGCCCCCCCGGGATCCGGGGTCTCATCGCCAATCCCTTTGTGCTCCTGTGTGCCGGATGCTCAACCCTGGGAGGTCTGCTCTTCGGGTATGACCAGGGTGTGGTTTCTGTGATCCTAGTCATGGAGCAATTCCTGAAGCGCTTCCCCGAAGTAGCCGAGGGACACTCCGGCTCCGGGTTCTGGAAAGGGCTCATGACCGCAATGATTGAGTTGGGAGCCCTCATTGGCGCATTGAACCAGGGTTGGATTGCGGATAAGATTTCGCGACGCTACTCCATCATTGTGGCAGTGATCATCTTCTTGATCGGCTCTATCCTGCAGACGGCGGCGATGGACTATGCCATGCTAACAGTTGCCCGGTTCATTGGTGGTCTGGGGATCGGCATGTTGTCCATGGTGGCCCCATTGTACATCTCGGAGATTAGTATGTATCCGTTATTGGAGGAGGACTGGCCTTCTCGATGCTAATGTTTGTTGCTACGCATAGGCCCTCCCGAGTGTCGCGGTACCCTCTTAGTGCTGGAGGAGTTCTTCATTGTGCTGGGGATTGTCATCGCGTACTGGATCACGTATGGCACGCGATACATGGCCGGCGAATGGGCCTGGCGCCTGCCGTTCCTGCTTCAGATGGCCCCTGCTATTATCTTGGTGGCTGGTGTGATTGTTTTGCCTTTCTCGCCGCGGTGGCTGGCCTCCAAGGGAAGAGAGGAGGAAGCCCTACAGAGTCTGTCGCGACTGCGGCAACTGCCTGCGACGGACAAGCGTGTGCGCCAGGAGTTTATGGATATCAAGGCCGAAGTACGCTTTCACCAGGAGATCAACGCGCAGAAGCATCCCAATCTCCAGGGTGGCGGACTCAAAAGCTCGCTGCTGTTGGAGATGGCCGGCTGGGCCGACTGTTTCAAGAGCGGGTGTTGGCGGCGAACCCATGTGGGTGTCATGCTCATGTTCTTCCAGCAGGTATGCTTCGATCTCCTGTATCCATCCCTATGCCTACTATTTCAATTTCCAGGGCTAACATGATGATAGTTCGTTGGAATCAATGCCCTCATCTACTACTCTCCGACCCTGTTCGAAACCATGGGTCTCGACTACGACATGCAACTTCTCATGTCCGGAATCCTCAACGTCCTGCAGTTGGTCGGTGTGGCCACGACAATCTGGACGATGGACAGCATCGGCCGTCGCCCGTTGCTTCTCTGGGGCGCCGCCATCATGGCTCTCTGCCACATCATCATCTCCGTTCTGGTCGGCCTTTACTCGGACAACTGGCCTGCTCACCGGGGCCCCGGCTGGGCCAGTGTAGCTCTTCTTTTCGTGTACATGATTGCCTTTGGGGGATCAATTGGTCCTGTTGGCTGGGCTATGCCGTCCGGTAAGCAGAAACCCCCATGACTTGACACGCACAAGAACAAGGATACTAACAACAACCCACAGAAATCTTCCCCTCTTCGCTCCGCGCCAAGGGAGTGGCCCTCTCCACCTGCTCCAACTGGCTCAATAACTTCATTATCGTAAGTGAAGCAGCCCGATTCGTGCTGTACTTCCACTAACGTATCCCGACAGGGCCTGATCACTCCACCCCTGATCCAAGACACCGGCTACGGTGCCTACGTCTTCTTCGCCGTCTTCTGTGTCCTCACCTTCCTGTGGACCTTTTTCTTCGTGCCCGAGACGAAAGGACGCACCCTCGAGCAGATGGACCACATCTTCAAGGACAATTCCAGCGAGGCCGATCGGGACCTTCGACGGGCGGTCGAGGCTCGGATACTGCAGGAGGAGCAGGAGGCGGAGGAGACCCAAGGCGCTTCTGTTTGAGCAGATCTGGCAGTCTAGCCCTCTGTTCTCGTCTCATCAGGGATGTGGTAGGGTGCAAATTACCTGCGGTGTCACGTCCACTGGTGGATTGATGCGCTGCAGCTTCAATTCTTCATACATAGCATTGATTAGGTAGTACCAGGGTTATGAATCACGATTTCCAATTTTCACGATTGTGTCATGTGTGCTTATAATGTAGACTGTAGACTGGTTATCTTGTCGAGTGTCCCCTGCGCCCGAAATGATACCACATGAGTATAACCAAATATCCTGGATCTGAATTATGCTTGCTGCTTCGTGGGTAGGACAAAGACCATAATGCGCTGCATGCAGTGTAACCGCCGATCAGCCCTGCATTATGCGGGGGGGGGGGGCGAAGAGGGAGAGACAACCACAAAAAGTCGCCTTGTCCCCGTCCACTCCCCGCAACTTTCCAACTTCGCTCACACCCAGTTCAAGGAGAGCATTATCATCCAACATGTGGTCCAAGCATTTACTTCTACTGAAAGCCATCCTCGACACAGCCCTTGCGACTTCAAATACCGAAACGTTCGATGCGATTTCCCTCGCTGAATTCATCGAACAAGAAACCCCAATCGCCTGGCAGGGAATCCTCAATAACATCGGAGCGGATGGAGCACTGGCCCAGGGCGCCTATCCGGGCATTGTGGTCGCCTCGCCCTCCAAATCAGACCCCGACTGTAAGCCTCATCCTAGTTCCTACGAACAAGCTAACTAACGTAACGAATCGTGGCAGATTTCTACACCTGGACCCGAGATGCGGGGCTGACCATCCCCGCCATCACCGGCCGTCTGACCGACCTGACCGACGACGAAGACAAGACCTCCATCGAGCGCATCCTCCAACAATTCGTCACCTCGCAAGCCACCCAGCAAACCATCTCCAACCCGTCCGGCTCCCTGGCCGACGGCGCCGGCCTGGGCGAGCCCAAATTCCACGTGAACATCACCGAGTTCACGGAAGCGTGGGGGCGGCCGCAGCGCGACGGGCCCCCGCTGCGCGCCTCCGCCCTCATCGCCTACGGGAACCACCTCGTCGCCCACGGCCAGACCGCCCTCGCGCGAGCCAACGTCTGGCCCATCGTCCGCAACGACCTGGCCTACGTGGCCCAGTACTGGAACGAGACCACCTTCGACCTCTGGGAGGAGGTCCGGGGGTCCTCGTTCTTCACCACCGCCGTCCAGCACAAGGCGCTCGTCGAGGGCCAGGCGTTCGCCGAGGCGGTGGGCGAGCCGTGCGCCGGCTGCGCCGCGGTCGCGCCGCAGATCCTGTGCCATCTCCAGCAGTATTGGGACGGCGCCGCGGCGGCGGCGGTCATTTCCAATATCCCCACGAGCGGGCGCTCGGGGCTCGATGCGAATTCGATCCTTGCTGCCGTCCACACCTTCGATCCGGAGGCTTCATGTGGTGCTGAAAGTGGCGGCGGTACCTTCCAGCCGTGCTCCGCCCGCGCGCTGTCGAATCATAAGCATGTGGTGGACTCGTTCCGGTCGCTTTACAAGGTGAACCAGGGCCGTGGCGCTGGCACGGCGGCGGCAGTGGGGCGCTACGCTGAGGATATCTATCAGGGGGGCCATCCATGGTGTGTGTGTGTGTGTCGTGCTGAGTCTTTCCCCGTCTTATCATTAATGAGGAACTAGGTACCTCACGACCCTTGCCGCGGCCGAGCAACTGTACGATGCCTTGTACCAGTGGGACCGACAAGGCGTCATCGAGGTGACGGCAGTGTCTGCGCCTTTCTTCGCGGATCTCATCCGCGACATAGTCCCGGGGTCCTACCCACGCGCCTCGGATGAATACGCGGCCATCTGCGATGCCGTGAGGCGGTATGCAGACGGCTTTGTCGCGGTGGTCCAGCAGTATACCCCGGCGGATGGCGGGTTGGCGGAGCAGTTCGACCGCACCACGGGGCAGCCGGTCTCGGCGGTCGATCTGACGTGGTCGTTTGCCGCGTTCCTGACGGCGACGGCGAGACGCAGCGGTGCCGTGCCTCCGTCGTGGGGCGCGTCCGCGGCAGAGCCGGCCCCGGCGACGTGTAGCGCGACGAGCGTCCGGGGCCAGTATGCTACGCCGGCCGTGGGGTCATGGCGGGTGCAGGTGCACGACGAGCTGAAGTGATTGGTCTGGCCTCACCACGCGGAAATTGAATTGCTTGCGGGAGCGTGAGCAGCCGTGATATGTGTACCTGATTGAAATACACGAGTAGGACTTATGCCAGCCAGATCGTAGTATGTATTCGGCCGAATGTTCCCGGGGCATCGGTCTTCTCCGAGCCTATCCGCCCGAAAAACAACCACACACAACCAAGGTCATGGCTGACAATCTCTGCATAGCATAAATGTCAAGGGTTGGTTGAACAACGTACCGTACAGTTCTATGGCATTGTCTTCGCCACCCTTCCGGAAACATGCACCGGGGGGGGGGGGGGGGGGGGGGGGCAGCCTGGAGTGTCTTATGAAATCATGACTTTTTCCATTTTTCTGGCAGATTGCTCGAATGAGTCTAGCTTGCATCTGACAACCGTTCACATTGCACTTGTGTAGCATCTCATTGGAGTGCGGGATGCGAGCTGTGGTCAACCCATGGAACGCAGAGATGCTCCCGCATCCCCGACCCAAAGTATGAATATCGATCGAACCGTTGTGAACCGTTGACGATGGCGTCGGGGAGGGCTCGGGTCTACTCGGTCTGACTTTGTGGTCTAGACTCTTTCAGCTTCATATCACATCAAATTCGAGGATACGAGGGTTCGATTGATATAGAGACAGACTGCCGGACACGCAACACACTCCGCTCTCTTGACCAAGTATGCACCATGCAAGTGCTGGCCTTTCTAGTCTCGTTCACCGGGCTAGCGACCATCGCGGTGGTTCTGCGCTTGTGGACTCGGCAGCGTCTGCGGAGTGCGGGGTGGGATGATCTGCTGATTGTGGTAGCTTTGGTAAGTATAAGTATGGAATGAAGCTCAAGTGCTGTATACTTCCTTCAGGGGAACAATCACTGACTGCTACTACAGGCCGCCAACCTCGTCCTCTTCTCCTGCAGAGTCGTAGGCAAGTCCCTCACCTCCCCCTGTCAACCGTCAACCGTCAACCGTCAACCCAAGAACCTCAACCTCACAATCAACATCCCCAACCCCAAGCTAATATCCCCCAAGAGATCCAACACGGCCTCGGCCACCCCAGCGAAACCGTCCCTGCCTCCGCCCTTCAAACCCAACTCAAAGTCCGTCCCCCAGCATCCCCTCCCCCCATCACCCTTGTCCCTCATCACTAACAAAAACCAAAAAGGCACTATACCTCTCCCTGCCCTTCTACCACCTCACCCTCCTCGCCAGCAAACTCTCCGCCCTGGCCCTGTACACCCGGCTCTTCCGACTCCGCCGCGTCCTCCTCGCAAGCTACAGCCTCGCCGGCCTCATGTGCGTAGCCGGAACATGGATGGTCCTCAGCGCAATCCTCTTCTGCCTGCCCGTGCGCGACTTCTGGTCGGGCACCACCCCTCAGCCTCGATGCCTGCCGAAAAAAGCGGTGTGGCTGAGCAACGGCGCCATCCAGATCGCGACGCACGTGGTCGTGCTGGCCATCCCGCTGGTCGTGATCCCGAAGCTGACGCTGCGGCGAAGGGTGAAGGCGGGGTTGTTCCTGTTGTTCGGGTTGGGATTGGTGTATGCTTCCGTTCTCCTTTCCCTTTCCCTTGCGTTTGCGTTCTTGGGGGAGGGTGGACTCGGTTACCTACCTTCGGGAAGTGCTGATACTGAGAATTTCGGAGGTAGGGTGGTCGTAATCAGCATCGTCCAGCTGATCACGGTGATTGAGATCTTGACGCGAGGCCGGGGGGATTTATCGCGTGCGTTGCATTACCCTGCCCTGCCCTGCCCTGCCCTGCCTTGGTCTAACCAGCTCAACAACCACCAGACAAATCCCGCACCACCGCCCTCCTCGCCAGCGCCGAGGCCAGCGCCTCCATCCTCTGCGCCTGCATGCCCCCGCTCTACCCGCTCTTCAGCCGGGCGTGTTCGCGGTGTCTGTCTCTCGTCAATGCGGGGGCCGGGGGGCAGGGGGCAGCGGCGCAACACGGCCCGAAGAGTACGGTGAGCATCCATCTGACGCGGCCGGTGATTGAGACCCCGGTGTTCTTCGATGGGTTCCGTGTCGGGGGTGGGAGTTATTCGGCTAGTGTTGAGGTTGTGGGTTCCGGGGAGCGGGAGCGGGAGCGGGAATTGGAGCGGGAATTGGAGCAGGGGGTTTCGGTGGTGAGGACTGTGGATGTTGTTTCTGATTCTGGGGAGTACTTGGCGGATCGGGGGGAGAAGGGACACGGACACAAGGGATGGGGAAGGTGGTGAGTTTTGAGGAGTGAAGCGTGAAGGACGCCTGGACTGTGCAGTAATTTACTGTATATTTGTCTGGAGGATGTGGCGTGGGGATACCTTGGATTTAGAATTCTTACAAGTGTATATAGATTTAGATACCATGCTGAGAGTTCAGTTCAGTTGTCATCGGACGTTTTGTAGGAGATCGAAGGAGTTTGGATGAGATGGTGGTTGACAAGGTTATGTCTAATGTACTCAAAGCTCTATACTGTTTATACATCCGGTCATTGCATCCGACTTCCTTACGGAGTCTGTGTGTACAGCATTGTAGTCTCCATCAATACATCTTGTCAGCGTAGATGGCTTGTGTGAGCAGTAGCTGAGTAGTACTAGCTAAGCGAGTCATTCACTATGATCCCTTTTTAGATATACTTCCACTAACAAACTCCACGACTTAAATAGCTTTATCTTTCTGTGATGAGCAGAATCCCTTCGACGCAAGAATCTCAATGACGAGCATGCTACTCAAACACCCACGTGTAAAAGAGCCTCCTGAGCCCTGCGCACACCATCGATCCTGATTTCAGTCGCACAAGCTGAGACGAAACCCTCTCCACGAAAGCAGCTGCACGAATCGGAAGATCGATCTACCCTCCCCGGAATTACTGCCCGAGCATCCACCCCATCCAGCCAGACGATATCGGTCCCCCAAAGTCTGTCTCTCCGGGTTGAGTTGAAGCTACATTGCTGACACTTGGGACTTGGGGGTTATGTTATATGAACGCCATTAGCAATACCCGTTCTATCAGCTTGTGGACCTGTTCTACGGCCGCGGACCTGCTTTCGAACCTAGGGTATTGCTCCCCCGCAGACGAGGGCTGCGACCACCTGAGAAGCTGAGTATCACCTGTATAGCATAATGGAGATACTCCCAAGGTTCTGGTGCGTTCAAGCCCCAGAATAATCGCACCGCGATCCGGGTATATCGAACGGCCAAGCGCGAGCGAGCTCCCGCTCTTCTTTCGCATTGCGCGCATGCGCCCGCACAAAGTCATCAGTCTGCCCTGCCGTCATCGACATTTTGCCGACTCACCGAAGGCCCCACAGCGAACCTCTCATCAACAGCATAATTCCCATCTTTGTCCGTGTACTGGAGGCCGGGACTGGAACTTGACCGGTCGAGGTCCCCTCGGTAGTATAGACTCCCATACTGCGTAAAGCGAACCTGGGACCAGCGCTGCTGGTAGGCGGCGACTTTCTCAAGCACCTTGAACTTAACCCGCACACCCAGTTTGTCCCACAGGCTACTCAGTGGCACGCCGCGTGCATTCTCCATGAGGATGTACTCCGCCGCCACCGGATTGTCGGCCGAAGAATACCACGAGAGAACTTTGGGAACTGGCGTACCGAGGACGCTGCGCATCTATCCGATGTTACCAACTTTCGTGAACTTCCACGACAAAGAAGGGAGGGTATGGCCTATGAAGTCCATAGTCGCGACTTCCGAGGCAGTGGTTAAGCGCGGAAGCCCAGCATTCGGAGTCGGAACTTTGCCCACAGCTTGGAACCCATTGTCCATGGTGAAGCGTATAGCCTTGCTGTGCATCCCGTCGGCCAGTCTTTCAATGGCGATATACGGCCGCGGCCCCTTACTTGCAGCCTCTGCGGCCTGGACGGCTAAGCGGGCGAGTTCATCCACGTTGAAACGGATGTGTCTCTTGGCCAGTTCATTAGCTTCGTCGGTAAGGAATCGGCCGCGGGTGAACTGGAAAAGGGTTTCATCGTGTGCTGCTGCTGTACGCTTGTATGGTGATGGGGGTGCAGTTGTCGTAAGCTGCCGCCGGACTTGGGCGGCCATCATCAGTCGGGCGGCGGGGCGGTACTGGATTCGAACAAGTAGACTGGACGAGCGAGCAGGGTGTGAGCTGAGCGCAAACTTGCGAGCCGGCGAGTTATGCATACATACTGGAGCATCTCCAGTCCGCCAGCGACAGCTACATGAAGAACAGCCGCTGGAACGAATGCAGAGACTGGGGGATGGGGATGGGGATGGGAATGGGGATAGTTGACAAGTTTGGGGAACCTCCGGGGAAGGAGGAGCGAAGGAGAACTGTAAAACCCTTTGGAGCTCCCGCCGATGACTACAGCCCAGCTGTGCAGCTTAGCTTCACTCGCATAAACTATCCGTATCACAACAGACCCATCCTCCATTTGCTACTCACTGCGTTGTACATTGTACAGTACTATGTACAAACAGATCTACAGTACTGTGCAACAATGCATCCATGATAGCTGGCTGATAGCTGGCTGATAGCTGGGGCTCTTACCCGCGCACAGAAGTACAGTACATACTACAGTACATACTACAGTACATACTACAGTACATACTACAGTACATACTACAGTACATACTACATGTACATAGTAGAACTAAAACCCCCACCTATACCCGTCCCTCCCTCCCTTAATTCCCATTTCCCCCCCACTGTGACCATGCTTAAATTGCCCTTCCTCCCTCCGAACGAGGCGACAAAACGGGCGGCTCTGTTTGAACTCCGAACCAAAAACCAGATCGGGGAAGATCAACGACCGACCAGCCAGTTTTGAACCTGCATCTGCATCACCGTACATATAGTACCTAGTAGACAATCATCGCCTCTTCCCGACCGGGTTTAGTCACCCAAGCTTTTTTCCTCTTGCATTTTTCCGATAGATCTAATTTACTTGAGTAACACCCACTGGTGTTACATAATTACCACATCAAATACATCACTAGGTTTGGGTTAATTATAGATAGCCTGGCTAGAATATCCAGTGCTGTGCCCCCCGGGGATGGAAAGCCGGGAGGTGCAGCAAGGCTTGGACCATGTTTGTTTGGTCGAGACACCAAAAAAATCAGTTGGCTAGTACTAAGTTAGGTAAACTAGCTAGCTAATCAGCCAGCGACTGCGTCATGCCTTCGTTAATCCTGAACAATCGATTGTCACTGGATCAAATTAATCCAAAGTGGCTGACAGACAGCCCATCTGGCACATGGCCACATGCCGGCTATTGACACTAACCTGTGCTTGGCGGCTGGCGCTCCTCAGTCCCTCCCCTGAGTGGGGTTGGCGTCCCACGCGTGGCGTCCGCACAAATGGGAACAAAAAAAAAAAAAAAGGGATTAGCGCCGGATTCACTGATAGGACTGGTCGTATAGGGAATTTTGGAATGATTGCCAGGCAGGCAATAACAGGCGCTTAGACGAAGATGGCGAGGGGAGCTCGTTATGGTGGCGGATAGGCTCGTCGAAGTTTTATTGGTTTTGGCTCAGCCTGAGCGCTCAATCCTGGCGCCTAGTTGGATAGATAGCGGTGGAGAAAACAGACCGAAAGGAAAACTAGAGTATCGAGGCAGCTGTCCAGTGGCTTTGGAGATTAGATGGATTTCGAATTTCCGAACAGCTCGGAACCGATAGCTCTCTCAAGGACAGCGGGAATGAGAGAAACATTCTAAATCAGGGACCCGGGATGGAAAGTTAAACCCCCACGAGGGCAACAAGGAGGTTGGCCTTTAATTTCACCCAACCCAGAAAGCAGCAGGGCAACATCATGCCATGGTTGGTGATGACAGTTCATGGTGATGATGATATTGTTGTTTTCGCTGCTGTTGATGATGACTTGCTTACCTCCCAATCCGAACATCCCAGCTCAAGCCAACCTAGCCCCCTACTCCCCCTCCACCCCCCTCCACCCCCCTCCTTGTAACCCTACTAGTACATACTACATACGTGATAGTACTGTACACTACCCAGGGGGTACAACCATGTGGCATGACGGCTACTACCCACCACGACGGCACTCATTTCGGCCGCATGCGGCATCCTAGGCAGGATCATTAAAAGTGCCACAGCACGTGGAGAATGGGCTTTAAGGTCGATCGACAGACAGATCCCGGACTAGTCGCGCCGTCGAGTAGCATTCTAGTCGGGGGTCGCGCAGGTTCGTTCTTTGTGCCGTCGGAGAGTCTGTAACGGTACTACTAAGTACCCAATTCTCCGTGAACCCTCAAACCCTGTTGTTGGTTGGCTCTTGGGCCTCTTGGGCCTCTTGGACCTTGCGGGCGTGCCAGCAAGAGACGGGGAGAGGAGCGACTTAGACAAGCGCGTGCACCAGCCGAGACGCCTTGGTGCCTAAGGATTGCCGAAGCGCTGGACTGTGCACAGCGACGCACCACCCACCACGAGGCAATCAGACACGGTGGAAACTGGAAACGTGGAAACGTCTGTCCAAGATGCACAGCGCTTCGGATGGATGCCGCCGAGAAACGGCCCCATTCAGTTCCTTCCAAAGTCAATGTTTCTCGGTCAAATTGTAAAGTCACAAGTGCCAACCAAACCACACCAAACCACACGACAAACACCCGACATTCAGACAACATCATTGGCATGACCTCTAGTTGGTGGAGTTCAGTTCAGTCGCAACTAGGCGCTCTTCGTAAACGAAAAGGGGTACGTATAGATCAAGATCAGTCAATCCTCCTCATCCTCCTCAGCCTGATGGTCAATCACCGCCCCGTGACATGTCCCTCTGGAACGGCACGATAGAGGGGCCATTTAATTTGGGGATGTCTCTCAATTCCGTACTTTGCGCTCGCTAAGCGTCTATCTCGTCTCAACTATTCAACACTCCGGCCCAAATGCGGGCGGAAGGGTGGATCGCAGGCAGTGCAAGGGGTGCGAAGAGAGATTATTATTATTATTGTCATCGTCATTTGAATTAGAAGAGAGGGGGATGGGATGTTGGTTCCGATTGGAATACGAGGATGGTGGGTAAGTTAGGAAGTTAGGTGTGGTTCCAGTTCTTCGCCTCGATTACGGTCCGTCCTGTCCTCCCCGGGCCTGTTGACAGCAGGCGTGTTTTGGAGGTTCTTGATCCTGGCCGATCATTGCCGTGGCGGTCAACAACCTTCCACACAATCACAAATCACGGGATCGGACCATCGGGCCCTTGCCATGCTCCGGAGATGGTATCATTTCCTGATTGGTAATGGTGGATGCGATCATAATGGATCATTTCCATCTTCAATCATCTTCTTTCATCTGTTCTCCGGGCTGCTCCCCTCCCCACCCGTCGGCGGCTCTGACCGTCCGTCCGTAGTCGCTCGCCTGAGGCGTTCCCAATCTGGTCAATTAGACTACCTACTACCTGCCTTACCTCACCACCTATACTCCGAACTCCGTACTGGGTATACTTTGCGAGCACTTTTGGCGAAATAGTACGAAGTCCGTACTGCGGTCACTGTCCAAGGCAGAACGATGTCATAATATATGAATCCGGGAATCCTTCGGATGTGACAGCTCCGCCAAAGGAACACCAGGCTTTTTCTCCGCCTCAGGCGTCATCGTAGAGAGGGGAGAAGAAAGTGATGCGGAAGCGAAAGCCTCCAACGGTTGCGAGATCACCCCCTCGTGGACAAAGTGCAGGGTATGCGAGCCTGCGAGGCCCATGTGTCGTCACTTGTCGTGGAATCGGACGATCCTCCACGCGCGACAGCTTTCGGTCAGCATTGGGGAATTCTAGAAGTACACGAGTACTGCATGGATGTATCTTAGCGGACAGGCTAGAGCAGAGCTTGAAGCAGAGTCCGAGCAATAATACGCACATACTCCGTACGATGTGCGATGAAACTACTAGGTAGCTGCTGTAGCTGCTGCCTTAGCCTGTCAGCGCCGTACAGTACAGTATCTTCCCGACAACCGTGTCGAAAATCACCGAAAAGTGGACTTCTGGTCTGGCGTGCGGACTATGCGTATTGGGCTAGAAGGAAGGTGGGGGGGGGGGGGAAGAGCCTTGTCATGATGTGATGTCTTCAAGCTCAAGAACAATCCAGAAAAAAGGACCAAGAAGACCCTTGGTTGGAAAATCCATGCTAAATCAATCGATTGATGAAGGGAGAAAAAGAAACGACCGAACGAAACCCCAAGGGCGGTCCCAAATCTGGCAAGAGTCGAGTTCCGTAGCGTGGCTGGCGGCCGCTAATGTCGTGGGGGCCAAAAACCGGCCGAAGCAGCAAGAAATGGAAAAAAAAATTTTAAAAAAAGGGAATGGAAGAAAAAGTAAAGTGAGAAGGAAGAAAAGAAGGAAAGAAAGAGTGCTGAGTCTGAGGTCTGAGGCAACCAACCCGAGGACTGCACTACTCACTACCAGTACAATAACATTGATCAATAAGTGATCGATAGATGAAGTGTTTCCGTGGGTGATGTGAGCATAGTGAGCGGGGACAACTCTATTATACTTCTAGTATAGCTTTTGGATTCATGGGAAGGTACGGAGTATGGAGTACACTCGTACAACAAGCCCTGAGATGAGCAGGCACAAGTCGATGAAACATTGATCGATCGAAGGAGCCAATTGACTACCGGCCGGATTAAGTCGAGGCATGGATCCCCCTTGCGGTTGTTCATCTGTCCTGAGTCCTGAGTCTTGACTCCTGTGTTATCCAGTCGGCCTAAACTACCATCCATGCATAGCCCGACCCCCGGAAAGGATGGATTTTAACCGCTCATTGCTTATCGCCATGTGGTTTTTTTGGATCTAACCAGGGCCATGCCATGCCTTTTTGCGTTATCATGACGATCGCGCGTGCTCCACGTTGGAAATGTCAGGCGGCGTTATCGTTCGCTGCTTGCGAAAAACCCACTCACCAGCGGTGGGTGACTACTGACTAGCCTTGTAGACTCTACCTAGTCTCCGTACCTGCCCTTGGGATGCCCCAGTTTGACGCTGCAAAGCCCCACCTGGGATGGCCAAATCGGGGAATTGGGTTATCCTGCTGAGCGGTTCCGGCCCCCAAAAACCCATTCGGATTGCAAAACGAAGCGTTGTTAGACAATTGGAACCTTCACCCAATTGCCCCTCTTCCTTCACTGCCAGACTACTAGTTACTAACCATCTACATACGGACTGCACTAAGGAAAGTACTAGGTAGGTACAGTACTACGGTAGGTACGGTACTGCGTAGATACTTCTCTGCTTCGTACTCATTTCTCACCATCCCCTTGGGCCCCTTTCCCAACAACACTATGGAGGATGTAATAACTTAATCATGTTCTATTATTTGCTACATTTCTAGAAGCCAGTGAGACGGCACATCACAGGAAAGCAACCCTTGTTAGCGGGAATGTCAAACAATCTATTTTCCCAAGGGGGCTGCGTCGGTAACGCGATTGATATTCGATCCTGCCAATTTCTTCCCTAGTGCGATTCGATATTGGCTCGAAGGGTTGAAGAGCTAGCTCCAGCCGGACTATTCACTATAGACTACTATAGTTACTAGGAGCTTGTTTCTAGACGTTGGAGGAGGCTCCCAGGCCAGACTCCCGCGGCCTGGGAGATTTCCCCGAGCATCGACTACCCCTGTCCGAGCTCCAGCCTGACTTGCCCAGTGTGTTGTTGGTATGGATGGAAGATCAGACATGTAGCGGATGACTGATGTCAATTGGTCTCTTCTGCTTTGACTTTGACTTTCTTAGATTTCCTTTCCCCCCCCCCCCTCTTCGTTTCTCCCCTCCTTACCCTCCCCTCCCTCCCATCATCTCGGGTGGAGTCAGAGGAACGGCAAGTGGCTTCCAAGGATCAGGCTGATGCGATTGAGCTACGGAGTGCGTTGGGACCTTCCGACCTTCACGTGGCGATGGTTCGAGACTATTCCTCTTCCAGCCTCCTGACTCAGTATTGAAGGTCAGAACCGGGGGGCAACCAGAGGCAAAGGGCCTATGATGAAACGAACATTTCAACAGTCAAGTGGGTAGACCCGTGCGTGAGAGAGCGCAATTGAATTCATTTCATTGTCTCCGGGAGAGGGGGAAGTTGGTCTGTCAAGCGCCGCACTGCACTGTCCAAGTGGGCTCCTCAAACCTAACTTACCTTTCATGCCATCATTCCCCTCTCTCGTCTCTCTCTCTATCCCCATTCATCTATTACTACTTTCTCTCCTTCCCACCCACAGCCCCGGCCGAACAATTGCCGCTAACTGCGCGACCGATGGAGATGCAAAGCCACCAGGGGTCGCAAGATCCATCTCCGTCAATGTTGGTTCTCTGGGATCTGGATTCATCCAGGAGGAAGGAGATCGTGTCTCATCCCAGCCCGTGGCAGTGGAAAAAATAGATCGACCATCTATCATGAATGGGGACTCTGATTTCCCCAACCTTGTTAAACGGATGAAAATCATAAGGACGAAACGTCCAAATTACAAAAATTACATTTAAATAAAAGAGACACAAAAAAAAACTGGTCGAAAAAAAAGAAATTACAGACACAAGAAAAAGAAATAAAAAAAGAAAAAACAAAAAAGTGCCGTAGCTCTATTAAGAAGAAGCACGCGAATTGCGCGCAGGGTCAGGAAAAATCCGACAGAAATAATTATGATAATAATAACAACCATAATAATCAATGATGAACGAAGGACGGTGGTAATTACTCTCCATAACCATTGCTCGACGACAGTAAAATACATACAACCCACATACAACCCGTACGCCCATACGCATACCCGCCCACCATAAGCTGTCAAACTGGTGAAGACCAGACCAGGGACGAACTACCTAGTACCTAGTAGTACTCAGCTCCATACCTACCTAATACCCAAAACCCCAAGAGTCTTCTTCGGCCCCCGTTCGTTACGCTTATTCTGGACTGATTTGGCTGCTGCTGCTCCATCAGCAGACCGTTAAATACTCTTGTCTGACCGGTTCCATGGAATGGACTCAAGAGATCAGTTTATCTTTCCCCCTCTGATGTCTATTGATCTATTGTTCTAAGGATCTATCTATCTATTCACTATCTCGTCTCTTTGTCTCTTTGTCTACCTGTCTACATACCTGTCTGTCTGTCTCTCAACTACCCAGTAGTTTTTGGACGGTCTTACTACCCGTCCCGTCACCTCGTTTTCGGTGGATATAGATTGCGCTGTTGATTCCGAGAAGGATTCCCGTCCGTGGGTGCTAAGACTACTACTTTCCCACCACCAACCAAACTGTATGTCCCATCATCATCATCATCATCATCAGTGCTTCGGGCTTGTTCCAGTCGACTATTCGTTCTTCCTCCTCCACTTCCATTTCTACTATCCCTCACCCGGCGGCTGCCTCTGAATCATCTTACTTTCTCACTCTCAGTGCTGTTTTCTCTTCCCTACTTGATCTTCTCCGGTGAACACCCACTGTGTGTTGATTATCTATTTGCCTCGTCTGCCTCTTCTGCCTCTTCTGTCTCTCTTGCCTTTCTGCCTCTCAGCATCGGATCCACGCAAATCTTCAATGCTCTCGAAGGGGATCCACCACTCACCAGGATATCCGCATTTCTATCACAGGCAGCTCAGTGGCTCTTGCGCACGCAGCTGGAATCTACCGTCATCCTCATCTCCATCTTCTCCGTCCGATCTAGCCAAACTGGACGATTTTCGCCGGCCTAGGTCCGTAGCGCCTCAGAGTACAGCAGCTCCCACACCCGCCATTTCAGCTTGGTCTGCTGGTGTCTCACACCCTGGCTCTGCGTATAACGCTCCCGGAAGCCTAAGATCGAGCATCAGCACAAACGAGGGACAGCACCATCTGCCCGTGTTGCACACCATTCCTGCTATCGCCAGAACGCCATTCCCGTCCGAGCTGATCCCGCCCGACAGTGAACCGAGGGGACTCCCTGCATCCGGACTCCTGCGCAGCAGAAACCCCGAACAAGCCAGTTTTGACACCCCACGGTACGTTGGGCATTTGACTTGACCCATCTTTAGCCCCAATGGTAACGATTGCTAAGCACCGATTATTACCAGAGCCTTGAGAGACTCATCACAATCGATGCATCCCGGATCAGTAGCCTATTTGACATCAAACATGGCACATAATTCACAGAGTAGGCCGGAGCACCAACTCCATGGTCTCCCGAGGTTTTGAACTGACGAGAGACAGACTATGGTTGGCAAAATCGGCTGCCTCAACCTCTTCATCCCTCCTCCATGTCAATGGACCAGCATCCATTTCCCCCAGCACAAGTTCTTCCGCCACATCCGAGTTATCCAGCTGGCTATCCCCCCCAGCCTTCCGGTTCCCAGAGCTATTATCAACCAGGGCTTCCTTCGACACAATATCTGATGCCACAAAGCCGGCAACAACCTCGAAGGTACTGATCCGACAGTTGAGGTTCAGAGATCAAATGACGAGAAGGAAACTAATTCCATGGCCTTCACAGCACCTCAATTCCATATTCGTATCCCAGCAGTTCCGTCTCGGGCAGCCCGCCATCAATCCCAGATCCAGCATTCGCGCCAGCGTAAGCCCACCTTACACTTTCTTCGAGCATCTTGATGCTAACCTGGCATCAGGCCATCGTCCTACCTTACAAACCAACCGGACTACTACATGGCACCGAGCTCTTCCCTATCGTAAGTGGTCTGCTAATATTTCACTACTGATCAAGGTCCCGCCTAACATGACAATCAAGCAGACAAACCCCTAACTCGATACCACACCCGCAAGGTCTTATGCCTACAGGGACAGTTTACTCGTCGCCCGAGTCCGCGCAAAACTCTTCGGATCCGGAACAACAGCAAGTTCGTGTCATCAGCTTTCGGCCAAAACCCCAATGTTGGGATCACGGATGCAATGGCCGCGAATTCTCCACCTTTAGCAATCTTCTACGCCACCAGCGAGAGAAATCGGGCGTTGTAGCGAAGGCAGAATGTCCCAGCTGTGGTGCTGTTTTTACTCGGACCACCGCCCGAAACATCCACGTCGCTCAGGGGAAGTGTAAGGGCATCGCACGTGAGCCGTCGGCTGAGTGAAGTCTTGGGGCGCTTTTTTCTTACCATTCTTACCACGGCCCCAAAAAGCATACAACAGGCCCTTTTCTTAGACTACGACTACAAGAACCTGTCTCCAGAGCACAGATCTACAGTGGTTGAAAGCACAGCCGCAGGAACGCTGTCTTCAAGTGTAGAGCAGACTACTCTACGCGAGATCACGGGTGTAGCTCGGCCAAGGCACCTACCAATACGATATCTGGCTGGGCGAATGACCCAAGCCAGTCTGGGCGTGAGGGGTACGCTGTATCTACCAATAGACACATTCCGGAGTGTCCATTTCTTGCATATTACGTTTTGGGAGCGACTATTTCTTGCATTGTTCTGGTTTTCATTTATCGTGATTTAATACCCTATGAGATTGTTGTTGTTTGTGTTACTGTGATACACCATTTATATCTTCAGCAGTACCTTGACCCGTCATCTTACTCGGGCGACTTCGCGATGTCATCTAGACCGGATACCTGTTGCTAGATTTAGATCAGACAGCGATGTACATCAAATACTTCTAGAACGCCATTTCTTTTCGACTACTTCACTCCCACCAACAATCGTCCACCTCTGTCAAGACCGTGTCTCACTCAAAACTGATTGTCCACGGGCGATACGAAATCTGGGATTACGGTGCTGCTGACTGTTGGCGACTCAAATGCAGACTTCGTGTAAGGGGGGCAGTATGAAACGACACGCTGCTAAATTTATGACCAAAGAATACCAAAGCATTGCCGATCAAGAAGACGGACAGTCGACTGGGATAAGCACTAATGCTTTCGGGCTTTCTTGGATCGAAGACTATTGATATTTGCTATCTTTACCTGAAACAGACCGAAAAACAGCTAGTCTAGTACTATGACTAGCCCCTGGTAGCCCAACCATATGTTTGTTGGCCTGGAGGCTAGCAGGGAATCTGACTGAGCCTGAGGCACTAAGGTTGACACGTGGCTGTCTTCTGCATCGAAGTCACCTGACCAAGTCGATGTCGTAAAGGACCGCGGCTCTTCCGATGCCTGAATTCCCAGGACGCATGACTCACTCAACCCACTTCACTCACTCGCATCGAAGATGGTCGGTCTCCCTTGATCAGCCCGCTTGTTTCTTCGTTTACATATCTCCTGCAATTAGATTCAGAAACACACTTTCACGCGTCCCGTTGGCCAATTAGTGCCTAGTCTGTTTGTCTCTAGCTACTGCATTCCCTCCCAAGATGCTTGTTATAGTCTCGATCTATGGTCATTGCGAAGGACTACGTACATTAGGCTATACCAAAGCGCGTCGAATATAGGAACCTGCAGTGAAGCGACTCAGTCAGAGGTCCTGCTAGGATTATACAATTCGTGCTGACTGCTGTCAACATCCACAATTTATCGCTATCACTCCGAATATCCTGCCACTTAGATTCTACTCGACCACCACTCATAATGGCATCAGTATTCACCTATGACCCCGATCCTCCTAGGGTCTCTTCGCCGTGGTCGACATCAGGCTCCTCAACACCCCAGATGGCAGCGGCTACCAGCAACCGCGTGGTGCCTCGGACCCGATCCAGCACGACGCTGGACCGGGCCGACCCTGACCTGCTTTCCGATTATGGCATTGCAAAGCTGGAACCCGAACCACAAGAGGGTCCTACCGAGTACAAGTTGCATCTGCTGCTGCGTCCCCGTCGTCCGTTTGTCGCCATGTCCACGGGCCACCTGGTGGGAGGCTCGTATCATTTCCGAGCGAGCCTCTCCAACGCAAGCCCGACACCCTCCAGCTCCGAATCAGCTGCCCGACCGCCGCAGACTCGCTCCGCGGAGAGTCGTCAACAGAGACTGCAGCACCTGACTACGCAGTTACTCTGGCGCCTGCAGCAGTCGTCACCATTCCACTCATCTACGACTGCCAATTTGGTCCTGCCCGTGCTCCCTGACGCAGCCCCTCAGCTGGGGGCGCCGCAAAAGCCAGCTAGGTTGCTCCCGGGTCTCGAGGAGAGTCAGGGAGCTCTGTATGAGATAGGGGTTGCCGACGACGGGACCTTTGTCGGACTCACCGTGGACGAGCTGGAAGAAAGTTTGTCCACTCTGCAGGTCATGGCGGCCAGCCTTGGCTGCAAGGTCGAGATCCTGCGTAGGGTCATTGTTGGCAAGTGCGAGTGGGTGGAAGACTCCTGCAGCGCGAAAGCCGATACCGGCAAGGTTCATACGGATAGCCTCTGGGTGGCCGAGGCCCTCGTGAGTCCTGATTGGGAGTTTTACCGGGTCAAGTCTCCGAAGTCAGGCGCAGGGGAGGACGGGTCTTCGACGAGTGCCCCCAAGAGACGGCCTTCGCTAGACGACTCTTCCAAGACAGAGCAGATCCGTGTCTCTATCTCAGGCCCCAGCGCAGCCGGCAAATCTTCACTTCTGGGCACGTTGACCTCGTCTGTGCTTGACAATGGTCGAGGGGCCAGTCGACTGGGTTTACTGAAGCATCGGCACGAGATATCATCAGGGATCACCAGCTCTGTTGCCCACGAGCTGGTTGGATACGCCTCTGACGAGTCTAGTCCCGATACCATCGATGTGATCAACTACGCTTCTGGCAATATCGCCGCATGGGATGACATCCATGCCGCGTCGGAGGGCGGCCGACTTGCTTTCGTATCTGATCTTCCAGGCTCGGTCCGGTATTTGAAGTCGACTTTTAGGGGTATCATCAGCTGGGCTCCGCATTATGTTATCCTCTGTATCCCAGCTACAAGTGACGATGATTCAGTGGCAGATATTGCCCACGGTTCGTCTGAGCAGTCTACTGAATTATCGCAGGCTCTGTCGCATCTGGAGCTTTGTGCCAAGCTCGGGCTTCCTACAGTGATCGTGATTACTAAACTGGACATCGCGTCCCGCACCGGCTTGAAAAAAAACCTCGCGCAGATCCTCTCGGTCCTGAAGTCGTCCGGCAGAAAGCCTTCGATGTTGTCTGTATCGGCGGCCCCTGCTGGAGACTTGCAACATGTTGGGACCAAGGACGCAGGTGAAGTGAGAAATCTCGTCGCTTCGACACACAGTTGGCAGTCTACCATACCTATTGTTCTTACAAGTGCTGTGGACGGCTCGGGGATAGCGAAGCTGCATGCGCTGCTGCGTTATCTCCCAATACCCGCACGGCCGCCTTTGAGGGACGTTTCTCTACCAAAGGCCCTCGCCCCTCCAATTGCGATTGAGACGGTTTTTGACGTTGATGAGGTCTTTGCCATCCCACTATCAAAGGTCCATTCTCTATCCGGTGAGGAGCGACAGAAGGAGACGCACGGCATTGTTCTTTGCGGGCTAGTCCGGTATGGAGCTATTTCGGCCGGTGATGAGCTAGTCATTGGGCCTGTCTTATACAATACTGCTACGGAGCATGGAACCGGCACTTCTGCCCCCAAAGACCGGACGGATAGACGCTCGGACACACAGCTATCCTCGAGTTCCTCCCGGAGTAGGCCGCCATCCGGGGACTTTTCGAGTTCGTTCCCTCATGGCTCTCTTCCCGGGAAGACCCCTCTTGCGGCGCAGGCAAGCTGGCAGCGCGTGCGGGCCGTCAGTGTCCGCAACCTGCGGCTGCCGGTGCAGAGCCTAACCCGGGATCAAGTAGGGACCATCGGGATCGAGCCCTGGCCACTCTCAACGGACGGGGAACGACCCCAACTCGGCAGAATCCGCAAAGGGTCCGTGTTGATCAAGATCCCGCCTGACTCCGCACCTGCCCCCCGCAAGTTCCACACCGGTTTCGTGGCCAGCTTTGCGGCAAGCGAATTTGCATCTGCGTTGTCCCCACCTGTGCTGTTGGGTGGCCATGCGACGGTCTACGTCGCCAATGTCCGCTCGACAGTGCGGCTGACCTGCATGGCGCTCGCGGAAGATGAGCTGATTTCGCGCCCCCCATCCCCGACGGAACCGGAGTTCTTCAGCTTCGATGGGGATGGCCCTGATCCGGACCGTGGGCGGGAGCATGGTGTGCACGAGGTGATCAAGTCCTCGGGTAGCTCCGAGGCCGGTGAGATCAAGATCACATTCCTGTTCGTCTCCTCGGTTGAATGGGTGGAGATCGGATCGCGGGTGCTTCTGATGCCTGCAGCGTCCACGGGCTTGGCTTCCACTCAGGGGTCGAGCTCTTCTTCTGGGACCGGGCTTGAGGGCTTCGTTGGTCGGGTTTGTGATGTGTTGTATGCGGGGGAGGCGAACAGTAAATAAGAATGTCGGTAGGATTGGGGGATGATTGTTCTTATTTGAAGTTGGTATAGTGGAGGTGTGGTAAATGTCTTGTGTTTCTTTCCGACTAGCTGTACCAGTCAACTTTGATGGATTTCAGTGTTCATAGCATAGTTCATGATACGAAGAGAATCTGTGTATACCTTTGAAAGAAGTGGTGACGATGGGAAGCTGCTGGATACGATAAGATACGGGGTGGGAAACGGCACTAGACCTGGATAGGATAGGCATGCAGCGCTCAGACCACGGCAGCTTTCTTAATTATTTTGACTGGGTTGACTATCTTAACTTGAGTTAACTAGACTGCTTTAGTTAGTTAGTTAGACTCAACTGACTTAACTAAACTACTGCATGGCTGACGCCAAGTGGACAGGCTGAAAGCTGATCTATCTTCCTCCTTCACAGACTACTCCATACTCCATTTGCATCTTCATCTACTACATGCCGGTCCTGAGCAAAGCACCGTTGACAACCAGTCGATGATTGGCAGTCTTGTTTCAAATTGTGGCACGGGTTGGGCTCGTTTGATCTGGTTCTGGTTCAGCTGTTCTGGCGGTGTTCCCACCCATTCCCCATCTTCGCCTTCGTCTACCCCGGATCCTGTCCCGTCAGTTCCGCAGTTGACCACCAGCTCATCTCTCATCTCATCATCATCTCCTGACTTTAATTGTTCCCCCCCTTCCCCCCACTTTCTACTTGTAACAACTGCTTTATTTGACGGGTAGGACCTCTGGAATTCCCTTGACGGACTCTTGTTGTGGTCGGAGGTGACTGGCATGTCCTGAACCCCTCACCGCTCACTCTCCACGGACAGAGTTGTCTGACAGTCCACTTTCAATCAAAACCCGCCACCATGGCCGGACCCAGCAGCTTGAATCTAAGCTCTCGCGTCAGCTCCGATCTCGATGGTCTCTCAGATGCAGAGGAGGAATTTGTCTCGAGTGCCAGCACAACCTCCAGCGCGTATGAGTCTCAGATGAAGGAACCTGTGAATGCGGGGAATGCGAGTCCCCAGCAGCCGCAAGCTGCTAGCGGGTCTCCGGAAAACAACACCAACAACAATAATCACAACAACCCGCACAAGGCTGGGGGAGCGAAGACGGCGGTAACCTGCTGTGCTAGTCCCCATGCAGCTTCCAATCCGTCAAAAAGGAAGCCTTTGAACCTGCTTGACTTGCCCATGGATATACTGCAGGAGATCATGAAAGAGGTGTGTAACCCGCTCGGGTCACTTGATGTCGACCCCCCCCCCCCTCCCAAACACGTCAACCATACTGATCAGATCTGGAATACAACATAGGTGACCCACACGACCGATCTCACATCCCTCGCATTGACCTGCTCTGCGCTTCATTCGCTGGCGATCCCGCAGATGTACTCCCGGTTCGACATAGTCTGGCCGGAAGCCCTATCAACCTCCGACCATCCGGCTGGCGTGGATGCTCTGTCGTACGGGTTGGCGACTCTCGTGACCGGGGAGGATATATTCCGCGAGGTGCCTGGCCGACGGTCATCACAGCCGTGTCCACATTGCGGATGCAGCGGAGCGCCGCCCGGTCAGCATGCGGCGGGCGCACTACCGCGAGTCCGCCGCGGCAACTACTACGCGCAGTATGTCCGCAAGTTCTCTATCGGCAACGGGCCGTTGATGTGGGTGCAGGAATACGCGGTGACCAAGGAGACGGGCAAGATGCTGGGGACGCTGGTGGCTCTGGCGGTGGCTCGGATGGTGAACCTGGAGACCTTCGTCTGGGACATGCCCACGGGAGTCTTGCGGGATGTCTGGGTTGCGCTGGCGTCGCTGGCGACTCGCCCGGGCCACGAATGTCGTCTGGAACGCGTTTGGGTGCGCTGGCACGATAACTCCGACAATGCCCTGCGGTCTCTGGTAGCCTCAGGCCCGACTGCGTCCTCGGTGACCTTGCCTCATTCGCCGGCTACGGTTCTGGGGTCTACAGGGAATACAGCATCGTGGCAACGATACGGACACGTGGAATACCCCTCTCTGTCAATCCTTCCACCATTGAAGAGTCTGAGCGTGTTGGACATCGACGAGCCGTCGTATTTGGAAGAGATGGGCGTGTTGGTCGAGCGATCGCGCGGTCGGCTGAAAGAACTCCGTATTGGGATTTCTCCCAAAGCGTATCCAGCGGCATGGCTGAAACCGGCAGGGGCCTGGCAAGCTGAGCAGCCAACGCCGCCAAATGGAATCATTGGCTGGCCCCGATCTGGGGGCGTACTGGGGGTCGTTCTTGGCAGGTCTGAAGATCATCACACTCGGCCCGAATCACAGGCCCGTGTCTCTCCCACCAAGGAGGATTCTGTTGAGACGCCTCCTGAAACTAGTCAGACGGCGGGTGACGTGCCTGTCCACGACGGGCCCCCGTTAATAGCGGGGTCTCCGCCCCAACCGAACGGTGGTGTCACTGGGCTGGCCCTAAATATGGAACACACGCACATCGCCAGCTCGCCCGCGTCCTCCCCTCCAGAAACTAGACCCTCGCCGATCCCCAGCGGGCCATCGAGGTCTGTCACGGGGGCACAAACGACGCCCGAAGACGATCGCCCGCTGTTACAACTTGAGACACTCGAGCTGGAGCGCGTTGCACTGTCGATCCCGGTGGCAGTGCATGCACTCGACTGGAGCAAGCTGACCACGTTGACGATCCTTCGCTGCGAGAACCACGAGAAGCTCTGGCGGGCTCTGCGGCGCCAGTACTCCCCGTCGCCGTCACGGCCGAAGAGTGGGGAGGGCCCAGAGTACACCCTTCGACTAAAGCACCTCCATACGGATGCCGTATCGCCGTACCTGCTGCTGTTCATCAAGGATACGCTAGCGCCAAATACCTTGGAGACCCTCTTCCTGCATGAGGCGCCGATGTCCGAGTCGATCGTCAACATCGACGCGATCTACAAAAACGCGATTCGTAATCACCACCTGAGTCTGCAGAAGATCCTGGTGGACAGCACCCAGCGCACGCCGGGGGGCGCGGAGATGGCCAGCGTGCGATGGTACAAGTGGATGTTCACGCGCCAGATGATTACGTTCATGAGCAGTGGTCGGATGCCTCGGCTGAAGGAGCTGTCCATTGCTCTCCACGCTAAGGACTGGGTAAGATTGCCTCCCTTTTTCGCTTTCTCACTAGACACGAAGAGCAACGTCCACTGACACTGTTATGATTAGCACTACTTCATCCAGAGGCTCCCGTACATGCCCCAGCTCCGTGCCCTGCACATCCCGCACATCGCCCGCCACGTCCACCGCGACCCGAAGGAACTGGCCATGCTCATCCTCGACGTGGTCACAATCCGGCCGGAGATCGGGCTGACCTACGTCGGGGTCCAGGACAAATGCTACGAGATCTTGGAGGAGAGGGACGGCGAGGCCGGCGGCGAGTACTACGACACGGACGACAGCCACAGCGAGGGGTTCGTGCCCGGCGGGGAGGACTGGCCGGGCTCCGAGACCAACGACGAGGAGGAGTCGGACGAGGACGGCGGGGCCAGCGCGATCCATACGCTGTCGGACTCGTCGTCGGACGACCGGGGCTCGTCGGACGGCGAGGATTCGGAGGTGGACTTCAACCGGTCGCGGGTGTCGTTCCGGCTGCGGGAGATTTTGTTCTACGATGATAAGATCGCGATTTACAAGGCACGACACGGGGTGTTGTAATTTTTTTGGGGGTGGGCGGACAGAGGCGTCGGTGTGATTTAATAAGTCTTAAGATACCACCCAGCGATTTCGGATTGCAATGAGATTTGAGATATGAGAGTGAGATTTGGTAGGATGTAGAACTATCTATGGAGCACAGTAGGACATAGTCATAGTGTGCATGCATAAATGCCATCTGACTCAGCTTCAAGGCTGCACGGCCGACTAGACCCACCCCAAGTTCCCCCACGTGACAAGGCGGTCAAGCAAGCTCAGCCTCTGAGCGCCGCCGCGATCTCGACATCACCGCAGCCAACCCACGCGAAACGTTCGAGAGGTCGAAGGAAGGATTGACCAGCAGCAGGTTTCTTCTTTCTCAGTTTCGCGTTCTTGAATTTGAGTCTGTGCTTTTAACCCAACTGCCAAGATGAAGCTCGTCCGGTAGGCCGCCCACCACCCTATCCAGAGAAAGGAAGAAACAACTAACCGCCCCCGGTTCCGGTCCAGGTTCCTGATGAAATGCGCCAATGAGACGGTGACGATCGAGCTGAAGAATGGTGAGTCTTCGCTGTCTAGCATCTTGCTCCGCGGCGTGGTTGCATGCAGTACACTACATGCGCAGCATCCACACCCAAATCCACAAACCTCAAGCCCAGTCGCCAACCCCCCCCCCCTCAAGTTCAAGCTCAACCCCCCACCCCAAAAGAGCAAAGCTAACACCAACTCCCCGGGGGCGTGAAAAAGGAACCATCCTCCACGGCACCATCACCTCTGTCTCCCCGCAGATGAACACCAGCCTCCGCACCGTCAAGATGACCCCCAAGGGCCGCGACCCCATCGGCCTCGACACCATCAACATCCGCGGCTCCACCATCCGCTACTACATCCTGCCGGACAGCCTGCCGCTCGACACGCTGCTGATCGACGACACGCCCAAGCCCAAGAACAAGGCGCGCAAGGAGGCGGACCGTGGGGGTCGCGGGGGAAGAGGTGGGCCCCGCGGGAGGGGACGCGGGCGTGGCAGGGGCCGGGGCCGGGGGTTCTAGATTTTCTCCTCCCCTGTGTCTTTATGAACTTGGGTGTGATGTTAGGACGGTGAATGGGTCTTCTTACTGGATGCGGTGGTGGAAGGATCGCGAGGGATGGGGATACCTACCCTACTTGCTGTGGGTGGAGGGAGGGGGTCATCTATTGCGTTCATTTTGCTGTCATTTTTTTTCTCTCTATCTTGAAAGTCATCATCTTCATCGTCATGGGAAAATATGGAGTTCGTTTTTATTTTTTCGTGATTTATCTCGTTTCTTGCTTGTTGGGCAGTGTATCCGGTTGTGTGGTTGTAGTTGTAGTTGTAGTTCGAGAGGGAAACTAATGCAACCCCTAAGATAGATTAAGAGTCAATGTCAAGAGCAGAGCAGAGCTGAATCCCTCTATCGAATAAACCATGCCAGTATCCCTGAGTAATCATAAATCATTATCTAAGCCAATCCCCAAGCCCCAACCCCAACCCCAACCCCAACCCCATATATATACATACACAGTCCACCCTCCCCCAGAAATCATTCTTCTCTGATGCATTCCCGCCAAACCCGCAGAATCACCAACTTCTCCCACCCCGCCTTCACCCCGCTGAACCCAGCAATCTCCGCGCACCACCCCGTCGCCCCATCCACCCCCTCCCTCCACCCCCGAATCCGCTCCGCCACCTCGCGCGGCCGGTTCTGCGCGCACAGCAACACATACCCCACCCCGCGCGGGCTCAGCACCCGCGGCAGATCCGCCAGCAGCCGCTCCGTGATCTCCATCCCGTCCTTGCCGCCGGCATACGTGAGGGAGAGGAGGTAGGATTCGCGCTCGAACTGCTCGCTGCGCGATCCGGCGGGCACAAAGTCCGTGGCCGTCGGGGCGCGCGGAACGGCGTCGGTGGGGACATAGGGTGGGTTGAAGAGGAGGATGTCGATGCTGCCGGCCTTGAAACTGGAGGCGAGGTTGGATTGCAGGGTGGAGAGGTGGGTGGATTTCACGGCGGAGGGGTTCTCTTGGGCGGCGGCGGCGGCGGCGGCGCGGTTTGTGTCTGTGGTGGAGGGGCTTGTGGTTGGGTCTGTGTTCTGCTGCGCGGCAATGGCCTTGACGACCGTCTCGCGGGTCGCGAGGCAGGCGGTGCGGTTGAGGTCCGTGGCCAGCGAGAGCACGTCGGCGCGGCCGAGGATCGTCGGGCTGTTGGCCGCCAAGAACGCGAGGACGACGCCGGAGCCGGACCCGACTTCGAGGATGGTTGGGCTGGGGGTGGTGGCCGGGAAATGTTGGGTCAGCCAGGCGGTTTCGGAGGCGGAGGAGAGCGTGTCCAGGAAGAGGTAGCTGTCTTCGGCGGGTTCGTAGATCGTGTCGAAGGGGACGTGCGCGGTGCAAGGGGTGGGGAGCATTGTGGGGGAGCCCGGTGGGTAGGGCCTGAGGAGGAGGGGGTTGAGATGGGTTGTGTTGTGCAATTGTTGTAGTAATGGTGAAGTTCAGCCTGAAGAATGTCTGGCTGATCCGATAAAGACCGAAGTCGATATCAATTTGGAACGCGGCGCTGCGGAGGGAGAGCCGGAGAAATCATCGCCATGCGATTGGTCGAGACCTCTCCCCGCCTTGGGATTTACCGCGGCAGTACCGACCGTAAACGATCCGTTCGGTCTCGTCCGGAGGCTGCCCTGCCTGCCCTGGCAGTTGCTTCGAGTCCATCATCAAGTCGGTTGAGAATCTTCATCAGTCACAATGCGCCTGCCTTTCCACCCCACAGCCCGCCTCCTGGCGACCCCGGCCTCCATCGGCTCCAAGTCCAGCCTCACCGAGGCCCTCGCCCTCCTCCCGCCCATCCCCCTCTACCGCCGCATTCTCCGCGTGCACCGCAAGAAGCTCGACCCCCAGATGCGCCTGCTGGGCGACTCGTACGTCCAGAGCGAGTTCCGCGCGCATCGCAACGTGGAGAACCCGTTGCATATCGTATGTCGTCCCATTCATTGTTGTGTGGTGGGGGAGCTGCCCCGAAGCTAACGCATTTTCTTTTAGATCGGCTTCCTCACGGAGTGGCAATTATACGCGCAGAAGCTGGAGGGCGATGCCTGGATCGGGGAGAAGCTCGATAAGGGCAAGTTGGATAAGATGAGTGGTGGGTTCTTGTCTCTTCTGCCAGAGGGGTTCTAGTGATGCAGGCTAATCCGAGAAGACCAGCAGATTGGCCAGTTGTACGAGTTGATGCAGGCCATCAAGAATGAGGAGGGCGAGGGCGAGAGCGGGGATGGCAAGGCATAGTCGCGGTTGCGTTCGATGCGCCACAGTGTGGGAATGTCTGGGGATGAATAGGATTGTAAGATTGTGAGAGATACTGTATATAGACTAACCAAAACGAAGAATGGAGCCTGGAAGGATAATGGATGATCCTTGCAGGCTGTATCTGTGAGGCTGCCTGATCGTAAGTACTCGGTAGGCAGTTATAAAGTATAGCATGTGTAAGCAAGCTGCGGGGTAGTCAATTAAAGAGCGAGAGCCTCGCAGCCCTTTCATCCTCCGCATTTCGTACCAGACTCTAACCGAGTTGGACTCACAATGACAACCAAACCACCACCAGCAGCAACCTCCCCACCCAGATTCAAATGCGTCTGCTGCAAGAAGAAGAGCTTCAAGACGGCCGAGGCGCTGAGCAACCACCAGCAAGCCCGGGCCCATCATCCTGTCGCGTGCCCGCTATGCTCCAAAGAGTTCTGCGATAAGCACGCCGTGCAGCAACACCAACAAGTCCATCAACGAAAGGCAGCTGCTGCCCTCGCAAAACCTCAAGCCACAACTACAACTACAACTACCACCAGCCCTAGACCGAAACCCACTCCGCAGCAGCAGTCCACTGCCACCATTTCCAAGCAACAAGCAAACCCACCACCAACCCCAACACCTTCCCTGAAACTCCCCGAGACTACACACCAGCCCTCCACCCTCCACCCCCTCGAACAAGACCTGCTATACAAATACCTGCTCTCCCGATGCCACCCCCGAGCCCGCCTGCAAGCCCAGAACTACCCCACAGCATCACAGACCCCCGGGAGGGACTACCAGCCCACCCCCCCGGCAAATCCCACGCAGCCCAAACGCAGAGCCATCGTTCTGGCCTGCGAGACCGACCCACAGGCAACGGGTTTGACCCATCTAGCCGCCACAGACTTTTTGAGTAGTGAAGCGCTCCTGCACCTGGCTGTTGGTCCGGCAGCCGAGGGGGTGCAAAGCAGATGCACCGACAAGAGCATCCGTGCCACCGTGGCCGACGCCGATGCAGCGCGAACGGCACTGTGGGAGGTCGTCGACGCGGACACGGTCCTCGTGGGCTATGGGCTGCAGCGCGGGCTGCAGCTGCTCAGGATGGTGCACGAGCGGGTGGTGGATGCGGGGATCCTGACGGCGGAGGCGGTTTTTCTGGAAAGGTCGACGGTGCCGATACGGAGGGTGTGGGGGTTGGGGGAGCTGTGTGGGGAGGTGTTGGGGTGGGGTGGGAGGCAGGAGGAGGAGCAAGCTGCTGCTGCTGCTGCTGCTGCTACCAGCAAGAAAGGCAAGCAGAGGAAGATGGACACGTGCGACGGGTGGGAAGAGTGTGTGGCCGCCAGGGAGGTGGTGGTATGGTGTTTGCGGAATCCGGAGCTGTTGCGGACGTGGGCTGAGGGCAAGGCTGGGGGGGATCTTGGGGAGGCTCCGCAGACGAGCGAGACGGCGAAGAGCAAGCGAGGGAAGAAGAAGGGTAAGAAGAAGGGTAAAAAGAAGAGCAAGAGCAAGAGCAAGAAGCGCAAGCAGACCGAGCAGCAAACGGAAGAAACAACAATCCTAACCACAGCACTACTAGAGCCAGAGACAGTTTCCACACCTGAACAAACCCCACCACCACCACAGCTCGAAGAACCAGACGAAGATGAAGATTCTGATGAAGGACTCGAGATAGTTCAATGGCAGGATCTTGAGTGATGTTCTACCATCTACCATCTACCATCTACAATTTACAATCTACAATCTACATTCTACATTCTACGAGTACCATTCTCATCGACAGTCAAGATAGATCCTCGGCATCCCGCGCCGACCCAGCCCAGCCCAGCCCAGCCCAGCCCCACCGTGGACCATCAATCAACCCACCAGTTTAGTCCAACCGTTTAGTAGCAACCCGGGTGTGAACCACAAACTGAAATTTCCCCTCGATCCCTACCCAGTAACTTATCTTATCGCCTCCCGCTTATCGGGGAACCTGCCCGCTGCCCGCTGCCCGCTTGCCCCCGAAAAATAAATTCCGCTTCCCCTTCCCCGCGCATACGCCGCGCCCTCCGATTGACACCGGCCTTTCTTTTTTACTCCATGTCCTATAACTTACCCTCCCCTCAACCGAGCACTTAACCAACTATATACCTCCCCCTCCCCATCCCCATCCTCATCCTCATCCTCATCCTCATCCTCATCCTCATCCTCAATCCAGTCCTTCCCCCCAAACCAATCCCCACAAGCAAAGCACCCAAAAGAAAAAAGAAAAAAATGCCCGCCCTCCTCGAAGACCCCCTCACCACCCTCCCCGCGCCGACGGCCGCGCAAACCGCCGCACCCACCCTAACCCCCAAAAAGGCCGTCCTCAAAGACAGCACCACGCGGGTCACCCTGTACCCCATCGCGGGGGGGCCGTCCACCCTCCCCGATTCGCTAATAGCGTACCTGCACCGCGAGTTCAGCGCCGAGATCGTCCGCGGCAGCACGTACCCGATGGAGGAGCCGATGACGCTGGAGCAGTACCGGAATTACTGGTTTGGGACGTTTGCGGTGATTGCGTTGGTTGATGATGATGCCGACAGTCAAGGCGACGGGGAAGGGCGGGGCCTGGGCCTGGTGGAGGGCCGGGATTGGGAGCGCGTGTGCTTGGGGACATTTTACGTGAAGCCGAATTATCCGGGTATGTACATGGTTTTTTTCGCCCTGTATTATGGTTTCCGGGAAGGGGAAGCTGAAGCTGAAGCTGATGTTGACGTGGTGATACTGACACTGGCTGGACAGGTCGGTGCTCGCATGTCTGCAACGCTGGGTTCTTTACGACTCCGGCGGCTCGAGGGCGCGGCGTGGGCATGGTGATGGGCCGGACTTATTTGGAGGTTGCGCCGGTGTTGGTATGTTTCCTTCCTTCCTTCTTTCCTCTCTTTTGCTTTGCTTGCTTCAGGGGTGGTGAGGGTGAGGTGGAGGGTGCGGCTGGCGGGGCAGACCGAGACTGACGATGCTAACGACGACGACGACGCCGACAGGGCTACAAATACTCCGTCTTCAACCTCGTCTTCGCCAACAACACCGCCTCCATCAAGATCTGGGAGAAGCTGGGCTTCCAGGTCATCGGCCGCGTGCCCCGCGCCGCGCGCCTGGCTAACAGCGCGGAATTGGTCGATGCGTTGATCATTGGCCGGGATCTGGTCTAAAGCACTTCTCCGACTCGCTGCACATATACCCCAACCCCACTGGGCAACACGGGAAGCAACATGTAAATATCCTTGTTCCACTTGGCCTGTGATAGATAAGATAGATATCGATGATTACTTGCCTAAACCCACACCGCCAGAAATGATCAATCCCATACATACACCGCTGAAAAAAATGCTTGAGGGGGATATCAATCTGCAAAGACACGCAAAATCGGCTATATCACCATACAAAACCCCCAATCGCAATGCTCCAGTTGAATTACATGACAACGATTATAAAAAAACAATTACCCGGAAGATGTGACGCGACTAGCCCCGCCAGGGAGGTCGCTCACCCAGCTTGCTGCGCGTGCTAGGCGCATTGTCCTTGCCGGTCCGGCCTTTGGGCAATGGAATCAAGCTGATGCGACGGTTGCTCGCATGTCCGAGCGACGTTTCCGGCCGTGGCGTCGGAGGCGCTTTGGTCGGGCTCGTCAGTGCGCGGCTGTGATCTTGCGAAACACTGCGGCTGAAGGAAAGCCCCGCGAAGCTCTGTCGGCTGCGCGGCGCCGTGGCCAACCCATCGGGTCGGCGCAGTTTGCTGTAAGGGGGAGGATCCAGAAGGGATCGGTTCGGGGTGGGAGACGCCACTCGCGACGGGCTGCGCGACGCCAGACGGCTGGACACCCGACTGACCGACCGCGCGCTCATCGGAGCCGGTGACACCGACATATCGCGGCGGTACGGAGTCATGGGGAGTGTAGAGGAAGGGCGCGACGTGCGACCCTGGGCGGACGATTTGCGGAACGGTGTATGGAGGGAATTAGACTTGTATTTGTCCAAGTCGCTGGTGTTGGTGCTGGTGGTCCACCGCGGCCTATTGGCCAACGCTGGCGGCAGAGCTGGGGTACGTGGTACCGGTTTGCGCGCCGCCGGCGTCGGCGTAGCGGCCACGTGCTTCGTAGGCGAGGTCACCCCGAGTGACGCCTTGGGGATCGCTGATTTTTTTGCTGTTAAGGTGGATGTGACTTGCGGCAACCCAGAATATCGTCGCACCTTCGACATGGTCGTGCGTGCCACCGAACTGACAGAGCTACCACGACGGCTGGAATTGTTGACCGGCGTGGTAGATCGCTTCAATGCATTCGCCGGAGTCATGATGACCGATGAAGCTGGGGAGCTGCCGGGAGTCTCAGGGACACTTCCGGTCAGTGGGCTATCCATGGTGAGGATACTCGAGATCGAGTCGCGCAGGTGTTGAGACCGTGTGAAGCTGATATCCTCCAAGGATGCATCCATTACCCGGATGCTGGCCTTCAGAGCATCGACCCGCGATGTCATGTCTGACAACAGTCGTAGAGTCTCTCCGTTGACCGTAAGACGGTCATTCACACCCTTCTGGATGATCGACACCACCCGCTCAATCGCAGCAACGTAATGCTGTTTCTTGGCGTCGTAGCTTTCGACCCGTTTCGTGAACTGGGCCGGGTTGTGCACCTGAGCGCTGGTCTCGATGGCTTCCTGAAGCTTCCCAATGCTCCTCTCAACCGATTCGAACATCTTCTGCGCTTGATTGCCCGCATTGCGGAATACGAGAATCCACCGGTCCTCGCTGAGCTCGTCCCGCAAGGCTTCTGCATCAGCTTCCAGCCCTTTGTAGGCCTTCTCAAGCTGACTGCGTCGATCTTCGAGCTCCTGGCAGGCGCTGGGGAATATCCGCACCGCCCGCGACTGGAACATGGACAGCCGCATGGGGAGGAAGTCGAGCGATGCACGGAGCGGTTGGATCCTCGCAAACAAGGCGATCAAGTTGGAGTGGTTGGAGTCGTCATGCGGCGTTTGGATGATAGGCATATCCAGAGTCGGTGCCGCGAACAGAGGCTCCAGACTGAACCGCTTGCTGGTCGACATGCGGCCACCTGCTGGCGTTTCCTCGACGATGGTCTCCAGCTCATTGATGTCGAGTCCCGTAGCACTGGAATCCTGTTCACCCGCCATGGTCCAGTGTCGCTTCTCTTCCATCTCGAAGATGAGCCGGCCGAGATTTTCCACCTCCACTCCAACATCGCCCAAGACATTGCTCCATAGTTCCTCCCATTCCATCGCCAGCTCCACTTGTTCTTTGACTCCTTTCAGCCGATCCTTGATCTGCGACCAGCTATGGATGATCCCGTCCATCTGTACAACAATCAAGTTCAATTGATCAGTGGAGACGTTCTCGATATCGTCGCGCATCTGCACGTCCTCAATAGCCTTGACGTAAACGTTGATCAGACTCTCAAATCGGGTGATGGCTCCATCGACCCCGTCCAGCCCTTCTCTTCCGCCGGCAGCTGCCCATTCGACGTCGTCCTCGGCATCCAGCCCGCTCAAAACACCGGAGGCCTTTTTGATCCAAATTTGAATCTGGTCCGCGGCTCCCGTGAGGGCCCTTACGGCTGCGGCGGCGGTTGGAATGGACGCGATACCAGCCTCGAGTAAGGATGGTTGGGGAAGGGAGATGGACGTGAGTTGCGAAAGCTGATTGCTAAAGGAGGCCCTTGAGAACGAGTATATGGATTCTGAGCGTTGTAGCCCGAGCGGGTTGAAGTAGGATTGCGAATTCGCGGATGAGATTGAGAGGGGGCGGGGAGAATCTTTCGGCGGCGGGGGAGGGGGAGCGGATTCATTGTCGCTGGTGCTCTTGAGATACTTTTCAAAGTCGGTCGGGTTCGTGGACGGCATTCCATTCGTTGATCCGGGGCGGAGTGGCAGACGAGATCGTTCAAGAGTAGCCATGTCGAGTAGTGGCTCTTCGATCGCTCCCTTGTCCTGCTGCAGTTCGTCTTCTTCTTCTTCTTCTTCTTCTTCTTCTTCTTCTTTTGCTTTAGCTGCGACTTCGGCTTCCGGCACCGCTGCTGCTTCTGCTTCTGCTTTTGCTTCCGCTTCTGCCTCCGTCTCTGCCCTTACTTCCGCTCCACACTCTTTCAAAGAGTCCCCTTTCTGAGAACGCTCTTCTGGAACCGAAGCGATCAACAGCGAATGCAAGTCGGGTTGTAGAACTGAAGTAAGCACGTGCTGTTCTGAGACTTGCTCCGAAGGTTCCCAAGCTTCGTCTGCGTAGAGCTCATCCGCTAGTAGCTTTTCCAGGAGCACTGGGTCGGGGACCTCCAAGTGGTTTAAATCGCACGATTGTTGCTCCTGCTGCTGCTGCTGCTGCTGTGAAAGGGACTGTTGTTGTTGTTTCCTTTCCTTGTGGGCCCGGTGCAGACCATTCCACGTGCGACCCTTTTTTTGAATCCTTATCGATAAGTCCTGGTGCAAGCTGTCCAACTCCTTTATGTGTTCCTCGGGGATGCGGCCCACAGCGCCCACTCGAGACGGGCTGTTGTTCTTACTGCTGCTGTTGCTGCCGTCGAGAAGCTTGACGCGGGCGGCAAGGCCGGGGGATAATCGACGGAGGATGGATGGGCGAATGAGCGTCTTCTCGAGGTTGTTGTTGGCGTCGGGAGTGTCGTCAGGGTCGTCGTCGTACGTCGTACTGTTGCTTCCCAGGCTGCGGAGACTGCGCAGAGAGGATTTGGATCTGATTCGTCGCGTGAAGGACTCAT